GACCCAAGGGTGCTGAGAGTATTAGGGGACAGAGTCATCATGAGAATTTCCCAAGTGTGTTTCCTCCACACCCAAGGTGCCTCCAACTTCCAGGAACTTCAAAAGGGGATTCATAATAGCGCTCCCCTCAACTCAGGGGGACAGCTCCTCTTCTTTTTCCTTCCCAGCTTGTCAACCAGCACTTGTCTACTGGACTTCCCTTCCAGCCACTGTCAGTGATTTTCTAACATTGAGCTGCCCCCTAGTGGAAACTGAGAGTTCATACCAACATAGAATCCAGCTGTCAGCGTAACTGACATGTAATTAGACATGCATGGCATCATTTTGGTCAGTGATGGATTATACACACAGCAGTGATCCCACAAGATTATAATAGAGCTGCCCTTTACAGGTGCAGCAGTTTTATCTTTCATGCCATATATTACTGTACTGCTATGTTCAGATATGTTTACATACACACGTACTTAACCATTATATTACAGTTGCCTACAGTATTCAGTACAGTACCATGCTGCACAGCTGCTGTAGCTGAGGTGTACCATGCTGTAGCTGAGGTGCACCATGCTGTAGCTGAGGTGCAACAGGCTATACCATCTAGGTTTGTGTGAGTACATTTTTTGATGTTCACATTAGGACAACATGGCCTAATGGTACATTGCTCAGAATGTATCCCCGTCATTAAGCAATGCATGACTGTATTTGTACATCAACTGAAGCAGGAAGACACTTTACTTTTCAAAAATCAGAAACTCTGCATCTTGGATATAGGGAACCTAGGAAAGACTAAGATAAGATCAAATTAATATTTTAAGTCATAGTAACCAAATGTAATTGAGAGAACCTTCAACAGCATCAAGTGGCTCTCAGAGGACAACTCTCAACCTTTTTCTCTTTCTTTTTTTAGTTAACTCTCAGTAAAGAATTTAAGAAGCCCAAACAGAAAGGTTTTTATCCTTGAGGTCAGGGGTCAGGCAGGCAACAAAGATGAGTGAAATGCAGCAGGTGCAATTGATAGGGAATGGTAGGGACTGTGGAGAATTGGAGTTACTGCCACTGAGCACCAGTTATTGGTGTCCTATGGGAATATGGGCATAGTGTTGTCAAATCTTTCAATTTTTATAGAAAAACTGGAAAGCCTGATTACTACCCCAAATATTCCAGTTTTTAAAAAAACGTTGTGAAGAATAAAACAGCCTCTTAGGCCACTTGTTTTCAAGATCTTCATGGTAGACCATCAGTTTCCAAATGCCTGATTGGTAGTGGTCACTACTAATCACTCCATAATTACATTTTAACTGGCTTGTGAAATTTTAAAGGACAATAAAATGAGTTTTTCCATAGAGCTAAATCTATTTAATATAAAGGACTCCTTTTCCCCTCTGTGATTATATCCTTATATATTTGGTTCAGATACTTTATTTTCTCTTTATATTTATATTCAAATATTTTGTATGAAATGCTGGTATTGTTCTAATACAATTAACTGGTAAAATTAAGGATTGGTGACTTTATGCTGTTCAGTTGCTCTTAGTTTGTTTTACTTGTTATTGAAACCCAAGTGACTGTGCACCACTGCTAAGACAACAATCATTGACTGAAGATTTTTTTTTTTTTTTTGAGTTGGAGTCTCTGTCGCCCAGGCTGGAGTGCAGTGGAACACCCCAACCTCTGCACTACAAACTTATGTGATAGGGATAGGGTGCCCTAATTCTTCAGGCCCCAAACTCTTTATCTTTAAAATAAAAATTGTGGGAGGGAAATCCTTAAGCATGCTCCGTAGTCACACTTTTAGTGAATCTGTCATTTGAAAGTTAAAAACATTTTTTTTTTAGTTAGAGTCTCACTCTGTGGCCCAGGCTGGAGTGCAGTGGCACACTTGGAGCTGAGCTCCAGTGATTCTTCCGCCTCAACCTTCCAAGTAGCCGGAACTACAGGCACATGCTACCATGCCTAACTAATTCTTGATTTATTGTAGAGATAATGTCTCGCCAAGTTGCCCGGGTTGGTCTCGAACCTGTGGACTCAGGCAATCCACTTGCCTCGGCCTCCCAAAGTGCTGGGATTACAGGTTGAGCCACCGAGCCTAACCTTGACCAAAGATTTTAAAGCACTATTGTGTTGGGATAACCCTAGGCCCCAACAGTGATGTGAAAGATGTGTTTGTTGAGCCTCAAATCCCAGAAGGCATGGAATGTGAAAACCCAAAGAAACTTTTGCCTCCCTCCTTTATTTAGTGATTGAGGACACTGAGACATTGTGTAGGAAGTGAATTGTTCACAGTCACCCTGACAGGTAGTAACTGAATCACAATTACATCCTGTTTTTCTGACAGCAGATATATGCTTCAACAACTTCAGTCTTCTCTACATTACCCAGATAGTAGTGCCCAAATGATGGAAAGCCTATCAAAGAAAGGACTTTGGGGTAATCGAATAAGCGATTTGTGTAATTGTGCATTTCTATAGAATCTTGGAACCCATGTATCATTCTAATTTAATTTAAAGGTATGAAACTGCCATTGATTAATTTTCCCTTAGGGTGTTTCTTTCATGAGTAGGCCTTTGGGTTTAAGAATATATTATAGTTCACTTATTGTGATACTTGGCTTTGTTAAGACCTAAATTTATTAGCAAATATACCGACTTTTTCCAACTAGTCTACAGATGCTTGTATACCCACCCATAGTTTAAAATGATTATTTTTGTTGTTGTCTGTGTCCTATTTCCCCATTTGAAAGATACATTTCACATGGATAAGAATAACGTAGCCTACACTATCTTTTCCTCAGCACCCATGACTGCTTTAGAGAGACTGACACATACTGAGGATATTTTATTAAGCTAAAAAGCAAAATAAAACATAGTTCAATCAGAAGGCATATTTTCATTTTTTATTTTTTGAGTTGGAGTCTCACTCTGTCGCCCACTCTGGAGTGCAGTGGCCGCTCCCGGCCACTGCAGCCTCGACCTGCTGGGCTCCGGCGATCCTTCCGCCTCAGCCTTCCAAGTAGCTGGAACTACAGGCACGCGCTACCACACCTGGCTCATTTTTATTTATTGTAGAAGTGAGTTCTCGCCAAGTTGCCCAGGCGGGTCTCTAACCCACGGCCTCAGGCAATCCACTCACCTCAGCCTCCCAAAGGCACAGGATTACAGGCTGAGCCACTGAGCCCAGCTCAGAAGGCATATTTTATGATTAATTATGTCTTTGTATTTCAAAGAGGAAGTAGGGGTCTGACTTGGTATTTTAAATCAAAGGATTAGTGATAATAATAACTTCAATAAATCGAGCCCCATCCCTATGCCAGGTATTATTCTAATGTTTAAAAAATATATATATTATTGAATTAAAATCAGTCTGAAAATATTTAGTGTTTGCTTATCATGTGCCAAATGCTCTGTTGAATACTGGGGGCATAGTGGTAAACCACATGGAGGTATCTCTAGCCACATGGAGTTTATAGCCTGAACTTCAGTGCTTCAAACCCATCCTGATTCATGCTAGCCTGAAGTGCATGATTGTACACAATTAAGAAGAGAGTTACAGTTATGTCAGTTGCTGAGAGGGAGAAATATCGAAGGTTGGGAGTCAGAAGAGACTTCTTGGATTAAATGAAAATTCAATTATGACATGAAAGGTGAGCTAAATAAAGGGTGATTGGGAGAGTGATTTATGCAGAAGGAGAAGTCAGGGCAGAGGCTCAGATGGAAGGAACTGAACATGGGATATGTGAAGAATGGAAGTCCAGACAGGTTGGAGAAATGAGAGGAAAAAGGGAAAGATGAGGCTACCTTAGGTCTTGCTATTAAACTCCCACGATGCTTTGCAAAGCTCTGTATAATGCTTTTTATAAACAGCATCCAATCAAGTGTAGTTAATAATATATTTGTATATCATATGTCATGTATCTATCATCTATCTATCTATCATCTATCTCCTATCTATTTGTAGAGACAGGATCTCTCTTTGTTGCCTAGACTGGAGTGCAGTAGTGCAATCATAGCTCATTGCAGCCTCAAATTCCTGGGCTCAAGTGAGCCTCCTGCCTTAGCCTCCTGAATAGCCGAGATTATAGGCGTGCACCACCAGACCAGGCTGATTTGATTTTATTTTTGTAAAGAAAATCTCGCAATGTTGTCCTGGCTGATCTTGAGCACCTGGGCTCAAGAAATCCTCCACTTCAGCCTCCCAAATTCCTGGGATTACAGGCATGAGCCATCATGCCTGGCCTCATTTGTCTAAAACCTGTCTTTCCCCTTATGTTGAGTTTCTTTAGTACAGGGGATCATGTGGGTCTTTTTCCATCACCTAGTGCTGCTCTATACTCCTCTCATGTGCCTATTTTATCTTTAGTAATATCCGACTTTTCTAACAGGCCTATCTATCTGTGAGCACAACACACAGTTTCCTTAAGTGAGTTTAATTTGTAGTATTTCATGCACTTATTCACGCATTTGTCTATTTGATAAACATTTCTGTGTGCCAAGCAGTTTAAGAAAATGTAAGAGGTTCCTTCTTCATGGCTTATACTGGTTCTAGACTTGAGACTAGGCATAAGACCAAAAATCTAACCCACAAAACAACATATTACAAATTGAAAACAATTTGGGGGGGGGTTCAGAGTTTCACTCTGTTGCCCAGGCTGGAGTGCAGTGGCACACCCATGGCTACTGCAGCCTCGACCTGCTGGGCTCAGGCGATCCTTCCGCCTCAACCTTCCAAGTAGCTGGAAATACAGGTGCGCAGCCACCATGTCCCACTAATTTTTTTGATTTTTGAAAAGATGAGGTCTTACTGTGTTGCCCAGGTTGGTCTTGACCCCCTGGCCCCAGGAAATCCTCTCTCCTCTGCCTCCCAAAGAACCGGGACTACAGGCATCAGCCACTACGCTGGCATGAAAACCTTTAAATTTCAAGTTCTTGGATTTTGATCATTCTTTTTCTTTCTGTGGTTTAATTATGCCTGTATTTCAAAACCTGCTTTTGTTTTTCTCCACTCAGCCCATCTGCCAGGCGGCTTATCAGAATGATATTGGTCAAGTATGGCGGTGGGTGAAGGAAGACAGCAACAATATTAATGTTCAAGACAGCTTTAATGGAGACACCCCCCTGATCTGTGCTTGCAGGCGAGGGCATGTGAAAATCGTTTCCTTCCTTTTAAGAAGAAACGCGAACGTCAACCTCAAAAACCAGGTGAGATCATGACACATGAGCGGAGAGGGTAATAATTGTTAATGGTAATTCCTTTCTACTTGAGTCACTGGCAGTGGTGAATATTGTTTTTTAATTGCTTGTAGATCCTGATACCAACCATTATTTTAGCCTTGCTATAGAGAGACTGACTCATATCAAGGATATTTTATTAGGCTAAAAAGCAAAATAAAACATAGATCCATCAGAAGGCATATTTGGTGATGAATTATGTCTTTGTACTTCCGGAGAGGAAGAGAATGGTTTACTCATTTGACTGGATCGAGTTTCTTTCTTTTCTGTTACTTCTTCTCCCCATACTCTCCTCTCCTCCTTCTCTCTCTCTTCCTCCTCCTCATCATTACAAAAGTAATGGCACAGCGGGGCTTGGTGGCTCAGCCTGTAATCCCGTGCCTTTGGGAGGCTGAGGTGAGTGGATTGCCTGAGCCCGCAGGTTCGAGACCCGCCCGGGCAACTTGGCGAGACCTCATCTCTA